TGCAGCGACGGCTGTCCCGGCCGTCGCGTCCTCGAGAGAGGCGAGCGAGCCGGCAGCAGAGCCCGCATGGCCCTCACCGCCACAGCCGCTCTGCCTGCTGACTTCGCTCTCGCCGCCGCCGCCTGCAGCGGCGCCTCCGCGGCTCCGAGAGGACCCGGCCCGCGGCCGCGTCTCGTCGAGCGCCTCGTCGACGCCCTCGGCGACGCCTCCTCGCGTCGCGTGCCCATGCGTGGCGGCCGCACCGCCGGCAGAGCTCGAGTGGCCCTCCACGCCACCCCGAGACTGCCCGGCGATGGTGCCTCCGCCGCCGCGCGTTGCCGCCGCTGCCTCGCAGCGGCTCTGTGCCTCGGCGCCGAGCCGAGACATGCTCGGCGGCCCGCCGCCGCCCACCAAGACGAGGCCCGCCCCCTCGTCGTGCACCGCGTCGCTCGCGCCTCCGCCAAAGCGATCTCGATCACGCCTTGCGGCGACGGCGCCATCGACGCCGACTTGAGCCGCTGCTCTCGCCCAGCAGCGGGTGCTCGCCGCTGTCCACAGGCGCGGCTTGTCAGGCGGCGCGGTGCCGCCGGCTGCAGCGACGGCTGTCCCGGCCGTCGCGTCCTCGAGAGAGGCGAGCGAGCCGGCAGCAGAGCCCGCATGGCCCTCACCGCCACAGCCGCTCTGCTTGCTGACCTCGCTCTCGCCGCCGCCGCCTGCAGTGGCGCCTCCGCGGCATCGAGAGGACATGGTCCGAGGCCGCGCCTCGCCTAGCGCCTCGTCGGCGCCCTCGGCGACGCCTCCTCGCGTCGCGTGCCCGTTCGTGGCGACCGCACCGCCGGCAGAGCTCGAGTGGCCCTCCACGCCACCCCGAGACTGCCCGGCGATGGTGCCTCCGCCGCCGCGCGTTGCCGCCGCTGCCTCGCAGCGGCTCTGCGCCTCGGCGCCGAGCCGAGACCTGCCAGGCGGCCCGCCGCCGCCCACCGAGACGAGGCCCGTCCTCTCGTCGTGCACCGCGTCGCTCGCGCCTCCGCCAAAGCGATCTCGGTCACGCTTTGCGGCGACGGCGCCATCGACGCCGACTTGAGCCGCTGCTCTCGCCCAGCAGCGGGTGCTCGCCGCTGTCCACGGACGCGGCTCGTCAGGCGGCGCGGTGCCGCCGGCTGCAGCGACGGCTGTCCCGGCCGTCGCGTCCTCGAGAGAGGCGAGCGAGCCGGCAGCAGAGCCCGCATGGCCCTCACCGCCACAGCCGCTCTGCCTGCTGACCTCGCTCTCGCCGCCGCCGCCTGCAGCGGCGCCTCCGCGGCTCCGAGAGGACCCGGCCCGCGGCCGCGCCTCGTCGAGCGCCTCGTCGACGCCCTCGGCGACGCCTCCTCGCGTCGCGTGCCCGTGCGTGGCGACCGCACCGCCGGCAGAGCTCGAGTGGCCCTCCACGCCACCCCGAAACTGCCCGGCGATGGTGCTTTCGTCGCCGCGCCTTGCCGTCGCTGCCTCGCAGCGGCTCTGTGCCTCGGCGCCGAGCCGAGACATGCCAGGCGGCCCGCCGCCGCCCACCGAGACGAGGCCCGCCCCCTCGTCGTGCACCGCGTCGCTCGCGCCTCCGCCAAAGCGATCTCGATCACGCTTTGCGGCGACGGCGCCATCGACGCCGACTTGAGCCGCTGCTCTCGCCCAGCAGCGGGTGCTCGCCGCTGTCCACGGACGCGGCTCGTCAGGCGGCGCGGTGCCGCCGGCTGCAGCGACGGCTGTCCCGGCCGTCGCGTCCTCGAGAGAGGCGAGCGAGCCGGCAGCAGAGCCCGCATGGCCCTCACCGCCACAGCCGCTCTGCCTGCTGACCTCGCTCTCGCCGCCGCCGCCTGCAGCGGCGCCTCCGCGGCTCCGAGAGGACCCGGCCCGCGGCCGCGTCTCGTCGAGCGCCTCGTCGACCCCCTCGGCGACGCCTCCTCGCGTCGCGTGCCCGTGCGTGGCGGCCGCACCGCCGGCAGAGCTCGAGTGGCCCTCCACGCCACCCCGAGACTGCCCGGCGATGGTGCCTCCGCCGCCGCGCGTTGCCGCCGCTGCCTCGCAGCGGCTCTGTGCCTCGGCGCCGAGCCGAGACATGCCAGGCGGCCCGCCGCCGCCCACCGAGACGAGGCCCGCCCCCTCGTCGTGCACCGCGTCGCTCGCGCCTCCGCCAAAGCGATCTCGATCACGCCTTGCGGCGACGGCGCCATCGACGCCGACTTGAGCCGCTGCTCTCGCCCAGCAGCGGGTGCTCGCCGCTGTCCACGGACGCGGCTCGTCAGGCGGCGCGGTGCCGCCGGCTGCAGCGACGGCTGTCCCGGCCGTCGCGTCCTCGAGAGAGGCGAGCGAGCCGGCAGCAGAGCCCGCATGGCCCTCACCGCCACAGCCGCTCTGCCTGCTGACTTCGCTCTCGCCGCCGCCGCCTGCAGCGGCGCCTCCGCGGCATCGAGAGGACATGGTCCGAGGCCGCGCCTCGCCTAGCGCCTCGTCGACGCCCTCGGCGACGCCTCCTCGCGTCGCGTGCCCGTTCGTGGCGACCGCACCGCCGGCAGAGCTCGAGTGGCCCTCCACGCCACCCCGAAACTGCCCGGCGATGGTGCCTCCGTCGCCGCGCGTTGCCGCCGCTGCCTCGCAGCGGCTCTGCGCCTCGGCGCCGAGCCGAGACCTGCCAGGCGGCCCGCCGCCGCCCACCGAGACGAGGCCCGCCCTCTCGTCGTGCACCGCGTCGCTCGCGCCTCCGCCAAAGCGATCTCGGTCACGCTTTGCGGCGACGGCGCCATCGACGCCGACTTGCGCCGCTGCTCTCGCCCAGCAGCGGGTGCTCGCCGCTGTCCACAGGCGCGGCTTGTCAGGCGGCGCGGTGCCGCCGGCTGCAGCGACGGCTGTCCCGGCCGTCGCGTCCTCGAGAGAGGCGAGCGAGCCGGCAGCAGAGCCCGCATGGCCCTCACCGCCACAGCCGCTCTGCCTGCTGACTTCGCTCTCGCCGCCGCCGCCTGCAGCGGCGCCTCCGCGGCTCCGAGAGGACCCGGCCCGCTGCCGTGCCTCGTCGAGCGCCTCGTCGACGCCCTCGGCGACGCCTCCTCGCGTCGCGTGCCCGTGCGTGGCGACCGCACCGCCGGCAGAGCTCGAGTGGCCCTCCACGCCACCCCGAGACTGCCCGGCGATGGTGCCTCCGCCGCCGCGCGTTGCCGCCGCTGCCTCGCAGCGGCTCTGTGCCTCGGCGCCGAGCCGAGACATGCCAGGCGGCCCGCCGCCGCCCACCGAGACGAGGCCCGCCCCCTCGTCGTGCACCGCGTCGCTCGCGCCTCCGCCAAAGCGATCTCGATCACGCTTTGCGGCGACCGCGCCATCGACGCCGACTTGAGC